TACGCACTCACTTCCAGTTCACTGTCCTTGTTTGAGTTGCCCTGTAAGTACACTAGCCCGTGGGTTCTTGTAGCTTTCAGATACCGAAGTACCCTCTTGGCCGCCGCATAATTCTCTTTTGTGTAACTGCTCGCGTGTCGACTCAAGTTCCTCACTGCGTTAGAGATGTCCGGCCGCGTACAGGTGACCAGATATTGTAGAGCACCTATCAGCTCCTGGTACTGTAAGTCCTTGTTATTGATCTTGTCTTCGTCTCTCTCGATAGGCATTACCTTCTCATTGTGCTGCTGTGGCGACCTCACGGTTTTTGCTTCCGTCATCTGAAACCTCCTTAGTATTTTGTCGATGTAGGCAGTCTGAGAAATGCACAACAGCTCGCCCGGCTTGTAGATTACCTCCATTCCAAGCAAGTAGTGCACACAACCCATATCCTTGAGTGTAAACTTACTCTTCAGTTCCATCTTCATGTCATCGATGTCCTTGCGATTCCCAATGATCATGACGTCGTCCACATACACAGTTAACATAAGCAATCTGCCGTTGATCCATTTATAGTAGAGACCCATGTCAAACACACTGCGCTTCATGCCCAATTCTTCCAAGAACTTGTGCAACGTGAAGTACCACAATCGCGCGGCCTGCTTGAGACCGTAGATACCTTTCAGTAGCAAGCACACCCTATCAGTCCCATCGTCAAACTCAGCCGGCTGTTGCATGTAAATCTTGACTCCATGCATCACGCTGTTCAGGAATGCCGTCTCGAAATCTACATGATCTGCGTCCAGCCCGAGAATCATAGCCACCAGCAGTATAAGCAGCATCGTAGTCCAGCGCGCTACAGGAGAGTAGGTTTTCCAGTATTCAAGTCCGTATCGTTGCTTGAACCCATGTACTACCAGTCTTGCCTTGTATCGCACCACTTCTCCACGTTCGTTACGTTTAACCTTGAGTACCCACCTGGTAGTGATCACTTTGGTCGGCTTTTCGTTTGAGCCTTTCGGCCTGTCAACGAGTTTCCAAGTTCCGTTCTTCACCAAAGACTCATATTCCTTCCTCAGTGCCTCCTTCCAATAGTTCCACTCAGGCGAATTCATGGCTTCCTCCACAGTGAGAGGATCATTCATAGCGTTCATCATCATCTGGTAACCGCCGAGCCTTACGTTTGGCTTTCTTATTCTTGTCGATCTTCTCGTTGGTCGTGGTGGGCTTCTGCGTCGTTGTCTGCCTCTGCGTTGCGCTGGGGGATTAACCGGTACTGCTGCAGCTCGTGGTTGAACGGGTCCAGCACCTTGTGCACCTCCAACTTGTTGTCCAGCTCCAGCTTGTCGACCATCTCCACCTTGTTCATCGTTCACTTCCGAGTCGCTACTCGAGGAGCTCTCGTCACCTGAGTCACGCATGTCGTCGTGCCTCGCAGATTCCCAATGTTTTGATGTGACTTCATTTGGTAGGCTACGGCTCACGACGCGCACTGCATCTTCATGTACGCCTTCCTCTGCGATGAACTCAACTGGCAGGGGTATGAATGGAATGAAGTCGTACGTCCTGTGTCTTCCAACCAATAGTGCGTCCAGGTACTTCCTGCTCACCGTCACGTCCTCTCTGAACTTCACATCGCGTGCTTCCACAATTCGTCCAGTCCGTAGAT